GAGGAGAGAGAGAGAGTGGCGCGTGAAAGTCCAGTAGGTCTCACCCACCTCTCACTTCTTTTACATTAATGAAACATAAAACTGGAGATAGGATATGTAGGTCCTTGTAACTTTAAATAAAAGAGAAATAAAGATTTTTATCTTACTCCCAAAAATATTTTAAAAATAGTCTTCTTTTATTGTTAATTTATTATGATGCTTTGGAAGTTAGTTTTGTCTTATAGGCATGTTTTTGTAGATGCCCCATTTTCGGATGGTTAAATTTCAAGATGATTCAAACCCGGAACTCATGGCCAAAACCCAAGAAATACATTACAATGCTCATCCTAGACAATTTTATCTTAATACCCTAAGGAACTGCCGATTCACTAGTCTTACATCGTAGAAACCTTGAAAATGACCTTTTCACCTTAACCCATTCAAAATTTAATCAAATTAGGCTAATTTCACTTCTAATGCATAAAACATCTTATAGGCTTTCAAATTAGAAGAACCACATTAATTAGAGAGTATGTGTTCCTTAGAGAGTATGTGTTCCCTCACCACATATTGTCGCTACCTGACATATGTGTTGCACACCACGTGATGTGTTGCACACCATGTGATGTGTTGTTGGCAGACAATCACAGATCTTGTGTCCCACAACCTTCTTGAAGCCCTAATGACTTGCCCCAATGAGATTGAACCCAAAAGGCCAAAACTATGTGCTTAAAACCATAGTTGTTGGGTACGGTAACGGGAACGGTTCCGAGATCGGGGGCAGGATTGGCAGATCGAAGCTATACTGAAGATCCGTGTGTTATGGATCGATGCACGTACATCCTCAAAGGTCGGGATTTAGGTCGATGTGTATTGGGATCGAGCTCTTTTATTACGTAGGATCGAGAATTATTATATAAAGGTGTGAGATCCTATACGTAAGAAGCGAAGTTCCCAAGGGCATTTTTTTTGAGTTTCTTAACTCAGGGAGTGCATTATCGAAAGTGATCCAAAATATTATGGAGCGAGGAATAACTTTTATACGAGCGAGCTCCATTTTCTTATAACACGAGTTTCTCGTGTAGGTAATAAAGATCCGTGGCTTTAAAATGTAGCTCCCAGCGTTGTTAACCAATAACATGTAGGCTTAGTCCTTCTATGAAATAAATAAGGAACTTTAAAGTGATCCCATATTGGTAGGATCTGGATGCCATATATGGCGATGCTTGTGTTCCGTTATTTTGGAATCTAGATCCTAGTTGCACTATGGAGTGCGAATCATAAGACTAGGGAACTAGATCATATAATGTTCAAGAACGAAAAATTAAATTGTAAGGAACTCGTTCCCTTATAAGAGCGAGATCCCGAAAACACTAAATTGAGTTTCAGATGAGATCCGCTCCGGGATCGAGAGAATCGAGGTTCTGCCAGGGATCGCCAAGCAAGGGAGGAGATCCCTGTAACTATGCTTAAAACCTTTCAGATAGCAATTGGAGCCTCTATTGGGAACTTCAGATTAATTTCCAATCAATCCGTATCCAAAGTATACCAATTCTTATCAAGTTGAGAATATTTTGATTAAAGTTGCCTAAATGCAAAATTCAACCAATTTGAATAGATCATGTGACTGAATGGTACATATCGTGCCCTGTGCAACACACACTACGTCTCTGTCATGTATGACATCCGTTTCTTTCCAAATTTGTTCTAGAAGCTTCTAGATGTTCTCTATTTTTTATTTCGGTGATTTTTGGTTGATCCTGAAAACTTACTTATAAATACCCCTCTTGGTACCCAATTCAAGGAGCTGGGGAGATACAAAGAAACCCCAATTTGCAGATATCCCTAAGCCTTCCCCTATTGAGCAACCCTCACCGACGTTTGGCCTTCCAAACCATGCTTTAGGCTCCAAAACCATATTTATGTACAATGCCTAGACCACCCTGGATCCAACCCTAACCCTAGGTTTTCATTCCTTTCAATTAAATTAAATCCCAATCAGCCTAAGAGCCTTAAATCTTCATGATTCAATCAATTTCAAGGCTCTGTTTTAGTTGGAGAGGACTGATATAAAGATTCTATCACTCTGTCTAGGCCCCAGCTCCAAGTGCTAAGTATATTGGCTTGGCTCGGTGAGTTTTTCTTTATTTTCTCTTTAATTTTATTATTTTATTCTTTGTTATTTTTTAGTTGTTTAATCTTATTTGATATGTTCTAATTTGGTTTTATTAGAGAAATGCAAAAATATTTAAGGTTTTAGGCGAGATTTAGTCTGCACCACAGGTATTTCATAGATAAAAAGTCTAAAGATTGATCTCTAGGAACCATAATTTGACAGGACCCATATTATTTAGGATTGTCAATACTAAGTTTTTCCTTATTTGAACACAAATTTGATAGGGGAGGTCTAACACAAATTTGATAGGGGAGGTCTAACACAAAAATGATTGGGGAGGTCTATGGTTTTCCTTCCCAGATTGGTGTACAGACAGTTTGTGTTTGCGCACGTTTTAGGGGAATTCATGCTTGTTTCCCCTTCCTCAATTGTATATGTGCATACATTTTTATGGAATTTGGCCTGCAACCTCTGAAACTAATGTAATGTACCTTTCTTAAAGAAAGTGTCTAGCATAAGTTTTCAGGTGCTGGTACGCTTCATGAAATTTTGCATCTAAATCTGATTTCAACCTATAGCTCAAATCTTTAGATGATTGAGGTTTTGTTAATTGTTCGAGTTATACTAGACAATGTATATCCTTTCCATTTATATTCTTGTGCACAAAGTTGTATGTGTCGACACCATTGTGATGTAATATATGATTTCTTCTTGCAAGTTCTTTTGGCTTACTATTTTTGAGACGAATTGGTAGGCACTATGTTTTTATATGAACCCCTTTCTTGCTTTTCCTAATAACCAGTGGGCTTGAATGAAAATGTTTTATTGGGTATGCTTTAATATTCAATTTCTTTGATGACAGGATGAGCTTTCAGAACTTCAAGATCAAAGTCTGGCTGTAACCATGAAAGAGCAACAGCAGCGAATATTGGAGTTTTGGGAGAAAAATTGGGTATGTATTCCCATGCATTTGTTATTCCCAAGTAATGGCATCCATTTTGGGGCTATCATTGTTGTTTTTCTTATGAGCTAACTTCAACCTTATCAGCACTCAGGTGTTCCACTGAAAATAAAGCGTTTAGCTGATGATTTTGAAAGATTCCTTTGGGCTGTGGGTATTGCACAATCTCGTTGTATCAACTTACGGATGAGGATTGGTGCACTTGTCCAAGATGCCAATATGCTTATTCCCTATGCTGGTAATTGAATATATGTTAAAATAACCAAAAAAAAATCAGGTATCCGTTGAGAATTATTAACTTTCTTTCTCTATAGTCTATACAAGTACTTGAGGATTAACTCGTGGTCACCATGCAATAATGCATCGTTTCTAGCACAAACTGAAACAAAGTGAGCTGTTTGAATCACCAGCAGTATTAACATGCTTTCCTCCACGAGTGAAATTTGTTAATGTACCACTTCGAGGCCATTGATAAATTTACAGCAGTGAGAATAAGGTGCTCCATTCTTGCTACGAAGGATTGCAGAAAAGATACATCAATATTAATTAACACCAGACAAAGCCTTAGCAGAGGCTCATATGACAACTTAATCTGCATGCTTGTTATACATCTAAACGCATCTTATAGAATGATTTTGTAACATCCCACTCTGTTTTAGTTCAATTCCTGAAATGTTTCAGATCCTAATCGCAGATATGTTAAACCATTCTTTTCAACCCAACTGCCTTCTCCATTGGCGTTTCAAGGACCGCATGCTGGAGGTTATGATAAATGCAGGACAACATATCAGAAAAGGTGACGAGGTATCGTAATACCTTTTGTAATGGTTTAGTGTTTCTTTTGCTCGTGAGATTCTTCATTAGAAGTTGATATCTTATGACTTCTTAAATTTCCTCACCTACTTTTTAGCGTTTAATGGGCACTGAAAGTTCAGGATTGCTCCTTACAATCAGGTTTCTCACTTTCTCTCTTCCATTGCTTCCTCTTTGTCATAGTGGATCTGCTCAAATAGTTTTATTCATAAATCTCTCTTGTTCTAAACTGTTCTCTTGGAAAGGAAGCAATGGAAGTTTCTTTTGTCTTTCCTTTTTGCATTTTATTCCTGATGTACCCTTTCTAAACTGAACCTGTACCTTTGTTAAACTAACCCTTTTTAACTAGTGGGACTCCCTCAACGACAAAGGTATTCATATGCCTTAAGTACATAGCTGCCTACTGGAACTAAATCAAAGGATGGATGCAGTTAGGATGGTCCATTAGGAGATGTAACCCATACACATGGAGTACTTGATATATTTGATATCTTTACCATGGTTTGCTTCTTGATGGAGTATGTTATGACATTGGGAGGCATTCATCTGACTGTGTCTATGTATGAGGGGAATAACTTGTGGCTGAGAATGCTTGATAGCCAAGAAAAGTCCTTTTTTTTTTTTCCCTCAATGTCATCTCATTTCTTTTATACCAAAACTGACCTTATCTGATACTGGAGTTATTGCAGATGACAATCAATTACATGCATGGAAAGAAGAATAACATGTTCATGCAAAGATATGGGTTTTCTTCCCCAACAGTAAGCCATAATCTCTCGATATTTTGGGTTTCGTCGTGATTGAGAATTATATAGCATTTTGCAAATATTATGTGAATGACTTAATGGCTAGGTGCATTTCAAAGAGCATAATTCTACTTTTGTGCGTTTGGGACAATAGATTCTTTTGAAATTCTTTTGTGATATGATATTGCATGGATTCTGAACTCAAGGGGACTTCTTGTGTTGGAAGTATGGCCTTTCAAGGCCTTGGGTGCAATGCTAGTACTGTTCAGAGTCACAGTGGGAGTGAACACGAACATAGTGGCTATCGGTATCTTTGCGTACTGGGATCCAGATAGACCAAAATAACCTTGTTTGATTGACTAAGGCGAGATTCTTGGACCATTTTGTGAACCTAGAGGTTTTAGGGTTTTTGCTCTAGTCAGGGTCGGGATGACTGTGTTCGCCTCATGTTGTGAGAGCCAAGGCTTGGGGATAAGTGGCTCCTGGTTTGTTTGAGATGTTTTGTGCATAAGCCCTGTGTGAGCATAGTACTTGGGCTCTAGGAGGACATAATCCCAAATCCCTGACATATGTAGCTTGCTCACAACATCTGCATAGATAGTCGCACTTTGGGAAGCTGTTCTGATGAGGTGAGATCCATTTATCAGAACTATGCATGCATGCTGAGAGAGCACCCGCGCATCCGCATGAGTGCTTGTCATTGGGGGGCACCTTTAATCTGTTGAGCACCTTGGAGTCCATCCAACTATCTGTTAGCTTTGATAGGTCCACTCATGTCCGGACTGAATTATGTGACTCATAGGGGCCTATTGGGTTGGTCTGAGAAATTGGATTGGGTTTCTGGGTCTAGCCTAGTGGAGCATCATGCCTGACCCTCTTGTGGGAAAGTGTTTTTCCCCACCAAATTTATAAGAAGTGCCAAATCATTTTTTTTTATGAAAAATAATTAAAAATGATTTGTCATGATTTTAGGTGGTTATTGAGAAATTTATTTCAAAGGAAAAATGCTTTGTTAATATTGTTGTGTGCTAATTCCAATTAAGAACGTTTATAAATGTGGTGTGTGGCACACAAATGGCCAATATGTGCTACACGTGTATCCCATAGGGTTGCCACGTCGTCATTGCTCAATGAGCATGACATGGAAACCCTAATCCTAGACTTGTGACCGTTTCTTTGGATATAGCATATAACATTGACAAGTGTATGGGCTTTATGGTACATGTGTGAAGCACATGTGTGTGTGACGTGTGTGTTCACATGTGGGAGTGCAGAGATTTTGCATTTCACTTAAAATATTTAATACCCTAGTTTTATGATTTGAAGAACCATTAGATTTTTTAAATGGAGGATTGTGTTTGGTATGAAGAAGATAAGGGGGAGACACCATGACATGGGGTGATGTAATGTCCCCCTATGATAATGACATTGCATAAGCTTGTTTAAGCTACAAGCCTTAACAACTAAGAATAAAAAGGGTGGCATGCCACCCTCATTAGGATTTTATAAAGCTCATTTCAAATCAATGGTGGTGATTGAATTTTTTTTAAAGATTTATGGTTAAGATAAGTTGATTTTGAAAATTAGGATTTGAGGGCACTTAAGATATTGTTGGAATTTTAAAGGTCTTATGTGGGCATGGTGATAAGGGTGTACCCAATTGCCACCATCCATGTGATAGTCATCAATGGTGATTGACTAGGCCAGGTCTTTAGCCTCTCTTAACTCTTGAATCACTCAATGGTTGGTTGAGATCTAATCTAGCTTTTATACCCCACATAAAAAATCTATACAAGGACTACATCCCACTTCATTCAATTGATTTCTTTCACTTCAACTCTTCATCTTTTATCTTCGAAGAGGCTCACGCCCCACTCCATTGCTTTCTTCTTTTCAACCACAAATTTATAACTTGAGCTTGTTACCTTCAAGAGTAAATGTTGCATACTTCCACTCCATAATGGAAGTATGAACCTTAAAGCTTCATCACACACCCCTTTTTGATTTCGGGTTGCTGTCATGTCAAAGACCTGATGTTGGAAATTCATGATAACAGTAAGCAATCTTGTTCATATTCTCTTCTTAAAGTTTTTATGTTTGAATTGAAGAGCATTTATTTTGTGCACTTTTGATAGTGTAGTTTTGAGCCTATTGCATGTTTTCCACTCTATATTAGAAACATGTATTCTTGAGCACCATCATGCACTTCTCCATGGGATCAATTCACTGTTATGAAAGTGTAAGTTGCTGGAATTGGTGATAACAACATGCTTACTTGTTTCATCTTTCATCTTTAATATGTTTTAATCCTACATTGAAGAACCTTGGTTATATGCCCTTTTTAATGATGTAGTTTTGAACCTTTTATGTGAAAACTGTTATGCCATCAATGTTGCTAGAAATGCAACTGTATGATGCATAACAGTGAGGTGTCAGTGTGCTCCACATACCAAGTCTAGCCCATTTGATTCCTAAGGTGCTTGGATATTTCAATCAAACCCTAGAGCCTAAACTACTTCGTTTTGAGCCCGTTTTTTGTCCTATTTCTCCCGCTTTGGCTCTTGTGGTCTAGTGTCTCATTAGAAGTCACTTTGGACCGACTTGTACGAATAAGAATTTCATGATGTGGTGGTAATGTGTTGGCTTCCCGAGATTAGATCAAAACCAGTCGCTATCAGTTGTGAGTGATAGCATAGGTTGTGATCATACCATTGTAGTATTTGCACGATGGTTGTTTGGAATTGGCTTTCCATAAAAAATATTAAAATCATGCAGTTTACTTCTTAGTCTTTTCCTTTTGTTGTATTTATTTTAGAAGAATTGTAAAAGAGCTATGCTTGATTTGTAAAGTTGTTGATGATGAACAAAGACTATTGTAATTTTTGATGTTACAGTTTATAATAAATAGGGGTTTTCCCAAGGTTCAATGAAAGTTTATGTACAATGTTATTAAAATTTTTGTTTTGTATACCTTGTGTGATTCCTCTGATATTACTTCAATTGGTATCAGGGCCAATTGGTGATTTATGTATACCTTGTGTGATTTAACATTTGCATATACAATATTTCTGATAATCTTAATTTGTATAAGGCTTCTCCCATATCTTTCAAAATTCTCTGATGGCATATTCTTTGTCTCTTAGATAGGTCCTAGCAAGTTACTGGTAGTAGAGTCCACGTATAGTCTTAAGAACACTATTTTACTCCCACTGACCTTAACATTCATGCAACAATCATCCTTACAGGGCTTAATAGTGTGTTTGGTTAGTACATCATTAAATTTCATAGATCATCCTCGTAATGGCAGTCTCATCCCAGAAAGATAAACTTAACTATCACTCACTCATTAGATATTTAAACTATTGTGAATCCATGTTTTACATACCTTGTGTGATTCCCTTGTTACTACTTCAAGGAGGCGACCTGGATCAAGAAGTTTCCCTACCATCTTAGATATGAGTCACTGACATGTGAAACTATCAGAATCATGTGCAATAATCAGGCAACAATCGCATTTGCATGAGAACTGAGGTTTCATAGCAGGTTAAAGCACATTAGAGCCGAGTTCTATCATATCCGAAAAGATATTGAAAATGGCGAGGTCGAGTTGGCCTGCATTGCCATGGAGGATATGCATGCGGACCCCTTGACAAAAGGATTGGCACCTGGTATTTTTAATGTACATGTATATGGGATGGGATTAAGAGTGCATAATAATTAATGGGGTACGGGAAGTTTTGCATGAACATCTGTTTGTTTTTATGTATGTAGTGATGAGCATAGTATTGCTCATTACTGACCAATGACAAGCAATGAGTTGCTGACATTTGGATTTGATAGAGTATTACATTTATATGTGGTCTCTAGGCCTCAAAAGGCCAAATGGAAGAATGTTGGATATATGGTCTTTCAAGGCATTGTGTGCAATGCCAGCACTATTCAAAGTCATAGTGGGAGTGACCAGGAACATAGTGGCTATTGGTATCTTTATGTACTGGGATCCGGATAGACCAAAATAACCTTGTTTGATTGACTAAGGCGGGGTTCTTGGACCACAATGTGAACCTAGAGGTTTTAGGGTTTTGGCTCTAGTCAGAGTTGGTATGACTGTGTTCGCCTCATGTCGTGAGAGCCAGCGGTTGGGGATCAGTGGATCCCGGTTTGTTTGAGATATTTTGTGTATAAGCCTTGTGTGAGCATAGTTGGGCTCTAAGAGGACAAAAGCCCAAATCCTTGACATGTGTAGCTTGCTCACAGCATGTGCAAGACAGTCGCACTTTGAGAAGCCGTTCTGATGAGGTGAGATCCACCTATCAGAACTGTGCACGCGTGCTGAGAGAGGACCTCCGCATCCGCAAGAGTGCATGTCCTTGGGGCACCTGTAATCCACTGAATACCCTGAAGTCCATCCAACTATCAGTTAGCTTTGATAGGTCCACTCATGTCTAGGCTGAAGTCTGTGACTCATAGGGGCATGTTGGGTTGGTTTGAGAAATTGGAATGGGTTTTCCGATTTAGCCCATTAGAGTACCATACAGCTCGACCTCCTGTGGAATTGAGTTTTCCACACCGGATTTATGAGAAGTTTCAGACCATGATTTTCTGATAAGAAATGATCAAAAGTGATTTATTATGATTTTAAATAATTTTTAGGTATTTTATTTCAAAAGAAAATACTTTATTAAATTGTTGTGTGATAATTCCAATTAACGACATCCACACATGTGGCGTGTGGGACACAAATGGCCAATGTGTGCCACCTGCATCCCATAGGGCGGCCACATCATTACTCAATGGGCATCATGTGGAAACCCTAACCGTATACCTGGGACCCTAGTTTGGATATGACACAACATTGTTAAGTATAAATTGGTTTATGGCACATGTGTGAAGTACATGTGTGGTGACATATGTGTATTCACATGTGGGAGTGTGGAAATTTTACAATTTCATAAATTGAGTAAAATCCTAATTTTGTGATTTGATAGGCATAAGATTTTTGAAATGGTGGATTATGATTGGTGTGAAGAGGATAAAGGGGACACACCATGGCATAAGGTGATGTAATGTCACCCTTTTGATAATGACATTACATGAGCTCAAGTGTGATGCAAGTTTTACGACTGAGGCCATGGTTTTATAAAGATGATATTAAATCTAAGGTAGTGATTTGTTGATTAAAAAATTTATGGTTGAGATGAATTGATTTTGAAAATTAGGGTTGAATGGTACTTTAAGATATTGTTGGAATTTTGGAGATATTATGTGGGTATAGTGATAAGGGTGTACTCAATCATCACCATCCATGTGATAGCCATCAATGATGATTGGCTAGGCTCGGTCTTTAGCCTCTCTCAACCCTTGGATCACTCGATGGGTGGTTGAGATCTAATCTAAAGTTTATGCCCCACATGAAAATCTATAAAAAGGCCACTTCCCACTTCATTTTTTGCTTGCTTGCCTTTTCTTTAAAATGCCAACTACTCTTCTCAAAGAGGCTCACATCTCACTCAAACCTCCCTTCTCCCTTCCACTTCAAAGATCTTAACTTGAGTTACCTTCCTTTTCCATAATTGCTAGCCTATGACCTCATGATGAAGGTATAATCTTTAAGCCTCATCACACACTTTTCATTGATTTAGGGTTTTTGTTATGACAAAGTCTTGTTGCTGTAATTCATGATAATAGTAAGCATTCTTAACTCATAGTATCTCCTTGAAATGTTTTGGTGTTTCAATTAAAGTGCTTTTGCTTTATGCATTTTGTTGGTGTAGTTTTAGAGGTATTAAATGCAAACTGTCGTGGCGTGAATGTTGTTGGAAATGCAACTTTATGACACGTAACAATGAGTTTTTAGTATCCTCCATGCACCTAGCTAAGCCCCTTTTGATCGCATAGTTGTTTGGACCTTTGACTAAACCTCAGGGATAAAACTATTCCATTTCGAGCCCATTTTGGCTCGGATTTCTCCCCCATTGTTTCACATGGTCCTATGCTCAATATTATTTTATTTTTGAGATTTATTTTTGTTATGCATCATACAGTTGCATTTCCAGCAACATTGATGCCAAAACAATTTGCACATAAAGAGGTTCAAAAACTACATCATCAAAAAGACATAATAAAGGCTCTTCAATGTGGGATTAAAACACTTCAACTATGAAAGCTCAAGAAAGTAAGGTTGCTATTTATGAGAAAATCCAGCAACTTACACTTGCATAACAGTGGGTTGATGGAGAAGTGCATGATGGTGCTCAAGAAGGCATGCTTCCAATATAGAGTGGAAAACATTCAATAGGCTTAAAACTACACTATCAAAAGTGCTGCACAAAATAAATGCTCTTCAATTCAAACATTAAAGGACTTTAAGAAGAGACAATGAGTAAGTTTTGTTTATTGTTATCATGAATTTCCAGCAGCAGGTTTTTGACATGACAACAACCCTAAATCAAGAAGGGGTGTGTGATGAGCTTGAAGGTTCATACTTCCATTATGGAGTGGAAGTATGCAACATTTACTCTTGAAGGTAACAAGCTCAAGTTATGAATTTGAGGTTGAAAAGAAGAAAACAATGGAGTGGGGCCTGAGCCTCTTTGAAGATAAAAGATGAAGAGTTGAAGTGAAAAGAAATCAATTGAATGAAGTGGGATGTAGTTCTTGTATAGATTTTTCATGTGGGGTATAAAAGCTAGATTAGATCTCAACCAACCATTGAGTGATTCAAGAGTTAAGAGAGGCTAAAGACCTAGCCTAGTCAATCACCATTGATGACTATCACATGGATGATGGTAATTGAGTGCACCCTTATCACCATGCCCACATAAGACCTTTAAAATTCCAACAATATCTTAAGTGCCCTCAAATCTTAATTTTCAAAATCAACTTATCTTAACCATAAATCTTTAAAAAAAATTCAATCACCACCATTGATTTGAAATGAGCTCTATAAAAACCTAATGAGGGTGGCATGCCACCCCTTTTATTCTAAGTTGTTAAGGCTTGTAGCTAAAACAAGCTTATGCAATGTCATCATCATAGGGGGACATTACATCACTCCATGTCATGGTGTCTCCCCATTATCTTCTTCATACCAATCACAATCCTCCATTCAAAAAATCTAATGGATATCAAATCACAAAATTAAGATTTTAAACATTTGATGAAAAATCTTTACACTCCCACATGTGAACACACGTCTCATAAAGAACATTATACTTATTAATGTTATGCCTTATAACCAAACAAGGGCCTCACATCTCGGGTTAGGGTTTCCACGTCATGCCCATTGGGCAATGACGTGGCAGCCGTATGGGATGGATGTGTGATGGCATGTGTGTGTTCATATGTAGGAGTGTTCACATGTGAATACCGCAACGGTATATAAACTTCCAGTATGTAAATATTTTACATAGCTAAGCCCTAGAACCTTGTACTTAAATCCCATAGCTAAGTCTCTCCAACTGGTATTCGCACAGTTATGTCTCCCAGCTATATTATCTTTCTACTAATGCTCTCTAAATTGTAATATTTAGATGGTTTTCTATTCTGGGTTTGGACTATTTGCTCTGAAATGCTTTCTATATCTTGTGACATGGCAGAACCCTTGGGATAGTATTCAGTTTTCTGGTAACTCGAAGATTCATTTGGATTCCTTCTTATCAGCGTTCAATATTGCCGGCCTGCCCGATGAATTCTATCATAATAGTGAGGACACTTGAACACATTTTACTTTGCTTCTGAATATTAAAGCTTGATTATATATTTACATACACACAAACACATGGAGAGAGAGAGAGAGAGAGAGAGAGAGAGAGAGAGAGGAGGAGTA